AAAACAATTCCAAGGTAGGAAATAATTTTAAAAACACATCTGATGTAAATCCACAGAAAATAATTAATATTAAACAAAATTTAAAAAAAAAAATTTAAAAAGGCATTATTAAAATCCAATGAAAAAAAGAATGTAATTTTTAAAAAAGATGATGAAGATAATATTAATCAAAATTAAAAAAAAAATTCACATATTCAGATATAAAAAAATAAATCGTCTTAAAAATGATTTAAAGAATAGATTTAGAAATTTTATTATAAATGAAAAACATGTAGCTGAAGAACAAGAAAAACATTTTGGACCAATAATAAACTCTTTAACAAAAGTTAACACAAGAATGAAAGAAGTTAAAGATGTGGCTATTAAAACTGAAGGTGATATCCAAAAATTAAGAGTTCCATATCAGCCTAGAAATCCAGAAATACTACATTTAATGAGTACAGTAGATAATATTCAAACACCGAAAAGTTCCCAATCATCATATAGTTATAATAATTCTCCATTACCTAAAAATATTATAAAATTAGGTGATTTAGCATCAAAATATTTACCAAAGATTAAAGRTAGATGTTTTGGATTATATCATGATGATGTATGGGATGAATTTTATATTGGTAAAAGTTCAGTAAAGATTGAAAATAATGATATAATTTTAAATAGAAAAACATATATAGGAACAACAGGTTTGTGGCGATTATTATCATACAAAGAATTAATAGATTCACAATTTTATACTTCAGAGGATCTTAAAATTTATAAAGAAATATTATTTGAATCAGAATCAATATATCAGAACAATAATAAATCAAGTAGAAATCCTAAATCGAGTGGTTCAAATAAATATAAAATTATGATAAAACCGATGTATGAGGAAATAAAAGAACCAACAAGTAAAACAAAAGGGGGTGGTTTAAAGAAATACACAGAAGATCGTGTTGAATATAATTATATTAGTAATGTAAAACAATTAATAGATAGATTACAGTTTATTTCTGCAGAAGAAAGAGCTGGAAATAATAATTTTCATAATGAAAAAATTGGTATTCTTCATTTACTTAAAGAAATTATGGAAAACATTATTGATACTCCTGAAGGTATTGAATATTTATTAAAATATGTAACATGTTTGCCAAAGGAAATGAAAATATCAAAAGATTCCATAGTAAAAAAAATATATTCTATGAAGAAAACTGAAGAAGAAAAAGGAAATTATATTTTCCATGATGAAAAACTTGATATTCTTAATATTTGTATTAGAAAAATGGAAAAATTAATTGATATACCTATTAATGGTGCAGATTATTTATCAACATATATTTCATGCTTACCGAATAAAATTATAACAGGTTCAGGAATTATTAATTATCTTTTGAATTGCTCAAATTTACCTGAAATGCATTGGCCTGGTTATAATTATTTAGGACCGGGAACAAAA